CTGACACGGCTTAGGTCTTGAAAGGCATCTCGCTGAGGTCGGGGTGCCTCCAGGGCTCGCGGTCCTGAAACGTACACGTTTTGCTAAGCTTAAGCAGTGTTAAGAAAAATGATAAAATTAGGCAGAAAAAAATGAATTTTTAGAATGAGGAAAAATAGGACAAATTACTGGAGCCTTGGAGGTCTCTTTCTTCCAAGCTCTCTTTAAACAATTTGGCACAAGTGCTGACATAGAAATACTTCCCTATTGCAACCTGGCGTCCCCTCTCCACCGAGAACCCCCTACAGCTCCCATCAACTGCCCGCTCCCTGCAGACCCAAGCAGATGGAGGGTTGTTGTGACGCTTAACCCAGACTATGGTAAATCCAGCTAAAGTCACCTCAGTTTCTATAGAAAATGAAGCTTAGAAGTATTCCCGAGCTAATTTCCATTTCCACCAAAACATTGATTCTTGAACTTTAATGTGCATCAAAATCACCTGGAGGCCTTGTTAAACTTTAGATTTACTGGGTCCCAGTCCATAGGTCTGATTCATTTGGTCCAGGTTGGGCCTGAAGTTTTTGCATTTCTAACAAGGTCTCAGGTGATGCTGATATTGCTGGCCCGAGCCACACTTTGAGAACTACTGAACTAGAGTAAACACAATTACTACTAATAGCTAACAGTTGTGCAGTTTTCTACATTTTTTTAAAAAAGCACTTTCACTCACACTTAAAAGGCTCCAGCAGCTATAAAATGAACTTTATAAGGTTAAAAACATTTCCTTTTAATTTGGGCCTATCTACCAGAGATGCTTCTTTGTCTCCACCAGTGGTGGATGGATGGAAAAGATGGAAAAAACAAGACTGAAGTTGTTCTGCTTCTAGGGTGAGTCTCTAAGGATAAGATGCTCCTCTTCAGTGGATTATAGAGAACAACATAGACTGATGAACAGGGACAGATCCAAAGTATTTACTGGCTGTACTGTGAGCAGAAAGTGTCATGAATTTAAGGAAGATAACATATTTAGTTTATATAAAGAAAATTAGATTAAAAAGTATAGCAGGTGAACAATTTATCTTTATTCTAGCAGCAGTTAAGGACAGGACCCTGTGCTCCCAAGTTCTTATCCTATATAATAAAAGGGTAATATGCAAATTGACCCTAAGGGCGGAACAACCAGTCGCTATGACATGCACTGACCACCAGGAGGTGGACGCTCAACGCAGGAGCTGCCCCCTGGTAGTCAGTGTGCTCCCACAGGGGGAGCTCCGCTCAGCCACAATCCGGGCTCAGTGCTGCAAGTGCAGCGCCAGTGGCGGGAGCCTCTCCCGCCTCCTCCGCAGTGCTAAGGATATCCCACTGCGGCTTATTAGAGTGACTTGCCGAAGGTGACATTACTAGTGGCACATCCCCTGAGGGCTCCCAGGCTGCCAGAGGGATGTCTGACCGCCAGCTTAGGCCCGATCCCCTGGGGAGTGAGCCTAAGCCAGCAGGTGGACATCCCCTGAGGGGTCCTGGACTGCGAGAGGGCACAGGATGGGATGAGGGACCCCCTGAGTGCACCAGGCCTCTAGTTGAAAATAAAGAAAAATAGGTGCAGGCCCTAGCTGGTTTGGCTCTGTGGATAGAGTGTAGGCCTGCAGACTGAAGGGTACTAGGTTCAATTCCAGTCAAGGGCACGTACCTCTACATTGATGTATCTCTTTCTCTGTCACTCCCCCTCCCACTCTCTCTAAAAAAGTAAAAATTAAAAAATAGGTGCAGCATCTTTTTAATTACAAAAAAACTTCACATGCTCACCCATCCTACTTAAATGCTAATATTCTTTGAGCACAGCAATATCATTGATTTATTTTATAAATATTAATGAAGTAGCTAGCACCTACCTGGCTCTGTAGGAGCAAGCTCCTTTAGAATCAAAGATTAATAAGACATGGCTTTGGTGTTTGTGTTTACACTCTAGTGAGAGAGAGAATAACCAAACAAAAGTGATGTTGGGACCCAAGTGAGTTGTGGAAAGCTTTATAAGGTAACATCTGAATGATCTCTGGGGTTGATTAAAATTGATTAGGTAGAGCTTAGTAAGGGAGAAATCAGAAGGTATTTAAACAAGGGGAATGGAGATTTGAGAGAGTTTGATACAGTCTGGGAAAGCAAGTTGTATTAGATTCTTCTAAACAGCAAGGAACAGAAATACCTCTGGGTTACCTGAGGCATTAGGATATATGGAGAAGTAAGGAAAAACAGGAAACGGTTTCAACATTAAAAAGCCATATCTGAGATCTGATGTAGAATTGGAAAGTTGCTGGGGATATAACAGCAACTGTGAAATGGACCATTATTCAGGACAATGGTAGTAAAAATACGTAATACTTCTTGCCATCCTACTATTAGCTAGACCAGGGGTGGGCAAACTTTTTGACTCGAGGGCCACAATGGGTTCTTAAACTGGACCGGAGGGCCGGAACAAAAGCATGGATGGAGTGTTTGTGTGAACTAATATAAATTCAAAGTAAACATCATTACATAAAAGGGTACGGTCTTTTTTTTTTTTTAGTTTTATTCATTTCAAACGGGCCGGATCTGGCCCGCGGGCCGTAGTTTGCCCACGGCTGAGCTAGACCCTGGGCTGACATGTAATGGTTTATTTACTCCTCTGTAAGGTAAATATTGTTATTATTCCCATTTAACATACAAGGAAACTGAGCGTTAGAGGACAAGCAGTGGAGTTGGAAGAAGAATGTTGGCAATCTGGCTCTGGAGATATTAGAGTGACTTGCCCAAGGTGACATGACTAGAATTTGAACCCGGTCTGCCTTCTCTAGTTATATACTAGTAAACTGATCTTCTAGTAACTTTGTTCCTTCATCTTTGCTTCTCGCACACATTTCTTTTTCTTACTCCACTTTGGGTCAGCTTTGCAACACTTAGAGTGTGATCAGTTGGTCCCTGTTTACTATAGAATGTTTCTGCCAGAATTTACTTATTTAACTACCATATTGGCTGATGGCTAACCTTGTCTCAGTCTGTTGCCCATTTAGATGTATCAGGGTCATGTGGTACTAAGGAGGGCCATCCTATATAATAAAAGCCTAATATGCTAAGTGTCCAACTGATCAACCAGTCGCTATGACACGCACTGACCACCAGGGGGCAGATGCTCCAACTGGTAGGTTAGCTTGCTGCTGGTGTCCAGCTGATTGGGACTGGATGAGATGGGCCAGACACACCCTGGAGCCCTCCCATGGTCCCTTCCCGGCCCCGATTGTGCACCAGTGGGGTCCCTCGGCCTGGCCTGTGCCCTCTCTCAATCCAGGACCCCCTTGGGGGATGTCAGAGAGCCAGTTTTGGCCCGATCCCTGCAGGCCAGGCTGAGGTACCTCACCAGTGCACAAATTTGTGCACCAGGCCTCTAGTATATAAATAATAAACGAATTTTGTAGCTTTATTTGAGAGGGGATTGTGGGTTTGGCAGGCAGAGTGACAGTAGATGAGGGTAAATAGATAAAGTGACACTAAGTCATAGAGGCCTTTTTTCAGTAAAAAGTTTGGAATGTATCTGGAGGCAGTGAAAAGCCATTGGGGGCTTTTTTTTTTTTTTACATCCAGTATTATTTTATACTAGAGGCCCGGTGCACAAAATTCATGCACTTGGGGAGGGCCCTCAGCCTTGCCTGCACCCTCTCACAGTCTGGGAGCCCTCGGGGGATATCCAACTGACAGCTTAGGCCCACTCCCCATGGGCATCCTTAGTGCTGCCGCAGAGGTGGGAAAGGCTCCTGCCACCGCTGCTGCGCTTGCCAGCCGTGAGCCCAGCTTCTGTGGGAGCACACTGACCACCAGGGGGCAGCTTCTGCATTGAACCTCTGCCCCCTGGTGGTCCGTGCGCATCATAGCAACTGGTCATTCCACTGTTCGGTTGATTTGCATATTAGCCTTTTATTATATAGGATTAGTTTCAGGTCTACCCATTGTTTTTTTGTTGTTTTTTTTAAATAAAGGATCAACATATTTAGGTTTTTAATTGAGGAAAGAGAAATTGAAACAAGGAAACCAGCCAGGAGATTTTGTAATAGTTGGAGATACATAATGGTGGGGTAAATAGAAAAGGTGAAAGGGATTCATATGGCAACTGATGAGCTTGGTGACCAATTACATGTGGAGGAACAGGGAGAGGAAAACATAGAAGGTGGTGCCAAATCTTAGGACATTTGAAAGGGAGGAACATGTGAATGTTCAGAAGCCATATCAAAGAGACCATTGGAAATATGTCTGGAGTATAGTAGGGAAGTTGGAAGAGCAGATTTAGATTAAAGGTTGGTGGCCAAACCAAATAATGGAGAGATCCTACCTTATTCCCTTCACCTTCTATATCCAGTCACCAACTATTGCCAGTTTTATTACTTAAATATATTTTAATTCTATCCTTATTCTCTGTCACCATTCATTTTCTCCTGGCATAATTCCTTTACATCATTCATCTGTGTGGTATAGTAGTCTTCATTCTCATGTTCCCCTAATTCCTCTTCTACACAGCTAACAGATGATATTTTGAAAAATAAATTTATTAATGTTTCGAACCATTTGGTGATTCTCCTTCAACTGTAAGATAGAATTTAGCTCTTTGCCTCTTTGTTTAAAAATATACTTTTATTGATTTCAGAGAGGAAGGGAGAGGGAGATAGAAACATCAGTAATGAGAGAGAATCATTGATCAACTGCTTCCTGCAGGCCCCACACTGGGGATCAAGCCCACAACCCGGGCATGTGCCCTGACTGGTAATCGAACCATGATTTCCTGGCTCATAGGTTGACGCTCAACCACTGAGCCAGACTTTTTGCCTCTTATTCATCTTTATCCCTACAGCTTCATCTTCCACTTATCATCTCAATACTCTGCTGACCAATTAGTAGCTCTACACTCATATATATATATATCAGGAACTCCTTTCTACCTTGCTTTGTTTCTCTGACCAACTGCTGGTGTCCAACCCCAGCAGGTCCAGGGGTCCCCAAAGGTGTGGACGGAGTCGGCGAAGAAGGAATGACATGGAGGCAGCGTTCAGTTGATCAGCATAGCAAGGTTCTCCTGCCAGATTCTGTAGCCATGTTTCTCTGGCTAGGTTCTCCAGCCAGGTTCTCCAGGTTCTCTAGCCAGGTTCTCCAGGTTCTCTAGCCAGGTACTATCCAGGTTCTCCTGCCATGCTCTGTCTAGGTTCTCCAGCCAAGATCTGCAGCCAGGTTCTGTCCAGGATCCCTTGCCATGTTCTGTCTCTAGGTTCTGTGTCTAGGTTCTGTCTCTTGTTGTCTTGTTACATCTGTATTTATACCAGTTGATTTTAATCCTGTCAATTTCTATTCCAAAGGTTAGGGCGTTGTTTCTTATCTCCATTCCAGGGAGTAAAGATTATGTAGCTTAAGGAAGGGAGAGGGAGATAGAAACATCAGTAATGAGAGAGAATCATTGATCAACTGCTTCCTGCAGGCCCCACACTGGGGATCAAGCCCACAACCCGGGCATGTGCCCTGACTGGTAATCGAACCATGATTTCCTGGCTCATAGGTTGACGCTCAACCACTGAGCCAGACTTTTTGCCTCTTATTCATCTTTATCCCTACAGCTTCATCTTCCACTTATCATCTCAATACTCTGCTGACCAATTTGTAGCTCTACACTCATATATATATATATCAGAAACTCCTTTCTACCTTGCTTTGTTTCTCTGACCAACTCTTATTCAATCTTTAAAATCCCAATTTGGTTCGGATCGGCTCCCGGCAACCAACTCTTATTCAATCTTTAAAATCCCAATTTGGTTTTCATGTCCTCTATAAGGTCTTCTCTTATGTCTGCCTCTGAACAAAATTTACTTATTTGTGCTATTGAATATATCATGCTCTTCAATTTTCAGGCATGCCCTCCCTATTATTATTCTATATACTCTTGAGGGCAGATATTATGTTTTAGGCATCTTTATGTCCCCAGTGCTTAGTACATAGTACTTGTTCAATAAATTTTTAGTGATAATTAGGTTTAATCAGCAGTCTAAAATGCTTTAGATAGGTTAATATAGTAGTTGTTGGTAGAGAAATGATGTGGAAAGAAGCTGGGCCTTGACATCATTGAGCCTTTGCTCTACCTGTCCTTCTTTTAGATCTTACTATTATATGAGCCATTAAACCTCTCTTAAGAGGTCTGAGACAGATATTGTTACTTGTAACTGATACAAGTGGTTTTATAAAATAAAAAGCACTATATTTTCACATTAACAATTTTTTTAACACATTAACTTTTTTAAATTTTTCAAATACTCATGAGCATCTATTATGTTCAAAACAGATTCTCTAGTGAAGGTTATATGGCTACCAACTGCAATGCTTCCTTATTCACTTGGCAAGAAGTGGGGGATGGAAAGAAGGTGGGTGGGAAGAATGAACAAATTACTTGTACAACTTGAATTTGTATTAATTTTTGAGAAATCAATACATTTTTGCATAAATTTAAAAATCAACTATGAAAATAAATTATTGATGAAAATGTTGACTAAAATGCATCTGTTTGCTCGTCATTCCCAAGGTTCTAAAAGCTTTGCTCTGAAGCATTTGTCTTGTTTAGGATAAAATACAACAAAATTTAACAGCAGATATTGAGCTCTTAGTATATACTGAAGATACACAGTTTTTGCCTTTGGGGAGTTCATTGTCTAATAGGGAGAAAAACACATAAAAATGATGATGCAATGACAGAAGTACTGTAATAGAGGTATGTACTGAGTGCGATGGGAACAGAAAAAGAGCCATTAACTTGGTCTTAGGGGAGTGTGTTAATGGCAACATTCTAAGCTTTCACTGTAATGGATATCTTTATCCATTACTTGGACTCCTATAGAGAACTGGTGTGATTGCCAATTATACACTGCAAATACAAGTCCTCTGAGAATACATATCTTGTTGATGATAATGTTATAATAATATGAAGTAAAATATATACTTACCATAGAGACAAAGATTATATTATCACAGTTTCTATTATGATGCTGATTTCTGTTCTTCCATCACCTTACTACACATATTAATCAGTGGGCTATGTCTGTACATTAATAATAGAATTTGAATGTATTTAAAATCATTTTAATAATAGATTAGAGCATGGTTAGTTGTGTTTGTTATGGGGGAGGTGGTGGAAAAGGGCTTAAATGTCACATTCTTGAAGCCAAGAGTGCATTTTAGACTTGGTATTTAACAATGGTCAGAACAAAGTATACCAGTTTCTAGTCTGTTATCTATTGTTATATCTGCTTTGCTGGTGTTGTTGACTATTTACTTTTTTGACTTCAATTTTAGTAAGATTAAAAAAAATTGATTCTGCACAATGTCAACTATATTATTACTTTGTTTTTCTCAAAATAAATCTAAAATAGAAAATCAACATAAATAGCAGGAGATAAATTTTACTATTTTTTAAAATATATTTTATTGATTTTTTACAGAGAGGAAGGGAGAGGGATAGAGAGTTAGAAACATCGATGAGAGTGAAACATCTATCAGCTGCCTCCTACACACCTCCCGCTGGGAATGTGCCCGCAACCAAGGTACATGCCCTTGACCGGAATCGAACCTGGGACCTTTCAGTCCGCAGGTTGACGCTCTATCCACTGAGCCAAACCAGTCAGGGCTAAATTTTACTATTATTAAAAGGAATAAAAAAATACTTTTTGAAAAAGTAGTTTTACTCTTTTAGTGAAATTACTTTGGTTTTCACGTGTAACTTTTAGAAAATTAGATTCATAGCCAATATTAAATAGTGTTCTTTGAAATGAACTAAAAACAAACTCATTTTTATATTAACATATTTATTTTATGTTACCTCTGTATTTATTTTGTTTTTGTTATTTTTAAAACTTTATAAAAATGGGTATATTATATATTTGTGTCACTAATTAAACTATTGTTTCTTTCTATTCCTGACAGGCTCCTAAGGGAAGAAATCCATACAGATGTTACTTTCTCTATAGGTTGTACTTTGTTCAAAGCACACAGAGCAGTCCTTTTTGCAAGGGTTCCTGACTTCTATTTTCATAGTATTGGACAGACATCAAATAATTTAACAAGTCATGAGCCTATTGCTGTGGAGAACTTTGAAGCTTCAGAATTTAGAACATTTTTACAGTAAGTGCTTTCTTTATCTTTTTCTCTCTTATATTTAAGTCTAATATGTAATCATTTTTTAAAACATGTATATGTTATTTCATATATTTTTATAAACTTCTAAGAAAAATCCATTCATTTAAATTCCAAGTTAACTTAGTATTAGTAGAGGCTAAGTATTAGTATTAGAGTATTAGGAGACTTAGTATTGGTAGAGGCTACATACTAACTTGAGTTTGATCCTGAGAGAAGAAATGAGTAGTGAGCTATCTGTTAATTTGAATGAATTACTCTATGCCAGAATTTCTCAACAGTAGCACTGTTGACATTTTGAGTTAGATAATTCTTTGTTGTAAGGGCTGTGCTGTGCATTTTAGGATATTTAGCAGCATCCCTAGCCTGTAGCCACTAGATACCAGTAGCACTTCCCTCCACATTCTTCCCAGAGCTCCTCCCCCACAAGTTGTGACAACCAAAATGTCTCCAGAACTTGCCAAAAGTCCACTGGGGTAAATTTGCCCTCTATTGAAAACCATTGCTATACTGATTTCTATATTATTGATATGTAAAGCTTTAAGTAAATTATGTGTGTTTATAAAAATATGAGATCATAAATTTTATTCTCTTGACTTGTATGTGGTCAACATTTTTGAAAATAGAACTTCCATTGAACTTGTGTTTGGTGAACTTAGAGAATTGTCATTATTAAATAATGGGATAAAGTACTTTATATTAATCCCCATTTCTAATTGAATAGAATTCAGTTTTAATGCTTTGCTGTTATCTGTGCAAATGTATAATTATTTGACACTAATTTTTGCTAAATGTATCTGGGGGAAAGTACTTTCTAATGTATTTACTCAAAATTATATCTCTTTTTAAAGAACCTATTTAAATGACTTTAGAGAGGTCTTAAATACCTTAGTGCATTGATTTTCAACCTTTTCTATCTCATGGCACACATAAACTAATTACTACAATACTATAGCACACAGATTTTTAAAAATATTTTTTGCCAATCTGACAAAAATCAGTATAATTTTGATTTATTCACATACCTATTGTTATGTTGGCTGTTGTCATTTTTTTAATTTGACAATCTAAGGAAAAAGAGGCCAGTGCCCCTGACTAAATAGTCAGGTATTACATGTTTTAAAAATTCTTACAGCACACCGGTTGAAAATTGCTGTATTAGTGTTTAAGAACATGGACTCTAGGACTAAAAAGCCTAGGATCAAATTCCCTGCTCTGCCATTTGGTAGCTGTGTGCCTCAAACTTAACCCCTATGTGCCTGGAATTTCCTCAAATGTAAGATGCCTGGCATACAATCTATAATAATAGAAACAATATGCTAATTAGATCAGGCATCCTTCCAGACGTCGTTCCCGATGGCCTTCTGGACATAGCTGCAGCAGCGGAGGCCGAGGCTGTGGCGGGCAGGGGCCGAGGCAGAGGCGGCAGCCATCATGGCGCGGGCTGAGCCCCTTGCACGAATTTCGTGCATTGGCCTCTAGTAAGCATTATAAAAATCGTTAACTACGTTTTTTATGTTTATAAATCTTGAGTTGTTTATTTGTATTTCATTTCAGTAATTTAAATACTGCCATCCCATAATTTCTTCCCTTTCTCTAATATATGGAAGTTAGTATCATTCTAATAATATTTTAGTGGTTTTCTGTCCTACCATCCCTCACATACACTTACTTAGTAGATATTTATTATGCCCTATTTTGGGCAAAGCTGTGTGTGAAGGGCTAGGTATGTACTGGCTAGTGGTATTTTATTTCAGTGATTGATAATAAGTGTGAAGAAGGGGAAAAATTTCTCTTTCCCTCCTCTGGTTCTTTTGCTGGCCAAATAATCAAATCAACAGGAGGAAGATTGTCAAGAGTAAATAAATTTAATCTCATGCAAATGGGAACGCCACATATCTGAGATGAGCAGAGATAAAAAAGGGGATTGAAGTATAAGACATTCTGATCTAGGGATGAGGTATTGCCTCTTGGGGGCCTCAAAGTGTCATTACTGGATGATAAGAAGAGCAGATGTTTAAATTGAAGTTTGCACTACCATACAGGTGGGTCAAAAGGTTATTGCTGATAATCTC